GTTGAAGTCCACTCATCTTAAAGTGGCCAAGTTTGGACAACACTGCCCTAAAGCAATGCTGCATAAACCATTTTTTTAAAAGTACAGAGTATCATTGAACGCAAGCAGGAAATAAAAGCAGCATGCACATCACGTCTCTTATATGTGAAAATGCCAGCACTTTAGTACTTATCCAATTGGCAATTTCTGGTATGGGAACATCATATATCCAGTCCTTCTCAAATGCATAGAGCTTATTGTTATCATTTAAGACAGAAGAATTATAGTTTACTTACAGTAAAATTCAACTGGCACCCCCCCATGATGTAGTCAAGAAAAGTACATTCGGTGATAACCTGTAGAAAAGTCATGCAGTGATACATTCAGGATTGTAAACGAAGTGATCAACTTTTTTTCGCAACCTAGTTTTGTCCCAACAGCTCTTAAAGGCAGGGTTTTCTATATCTAAATTGGGGGTGGGGATGGGCTATGAGATGGGAACTGTTAATATTCATAGCAATGCCCTAATGGCAGAAATGCAAGCGTTGACTTTAAATGCAAACTCCAGGCAAGATATTTGATGTAAATATTCAGGGATCAGTGCCCTACTGTTGCAGGAGGAGCCACAAGGCACTGCAGAGTTTCAGTTTCTAAGGCCAAAGGGTACTTCAGAGCATGTGAGGGTGCAAACATAGCATCTGCTTGCCACTGTTTAAAGCAGCTGCATTTTTTCCTGGGATAACACAGCTACCCTCTACGAACTCTCAATATATATATTTGGTTTAAGGAGTTGCAGACAGGTGCTTCAAAGCACCTTTTCCCCTTTGAAACAGAACAGTATTTTACAGGTATTGCACAATTTTTACTAGCTTCAACTATTCATTTTTTCTCAAAGAGGAAAGATGTGCAGCGGCTGAAGCAATGCTGTATTTGCCATCTTTCCCCTCTGCTAAACAAGGAAGAGCCAGTTCAGTGGACCAGATTAGTGCCAAAGGCTGAGTTCTGCACTAGTGAAACTTTTTCAGCCTAATTGATATTGTAGAGTAGTTGTATGGAAAAAATAGAAGGAATGACACCTTGAGCTCCTAAAAAAAGCAGGATAAAAATCTAACACATGAATAAAATACGGCAAACAGTTACCTCATAAAATTGTAGAAGCTCAGCCAAAATGTTAGATTTAGTCACAGTGCAAAGATGAAAAATGTTTTCCTCCAGTACAACCATTAAATCAAACACTATCATTCCACTTCCTTTACCTATTACTACAATAGGTAATATTTACCTATTATTATGCCCACATAAATATGAACACAGTATTTTGAAAACACTGACCTCACAATGTTTAAAGCTCACAATCCCCGAGTTTCTGTAGCTTTTCTTTTTCTGTCTCTTCTTTTCATTGATGCATTCAAATTCAATCTACGGAAACGTAAGAGTAAAAGCAGCACGTATTTAGACTGTGATCCCCAGTCTGCTTAACTAGAAGCTTGCTCTCACATATTATTTTTGGCCACCTTTGTCTGAATCCTGTTCAGATGAAGATTTGGATCTAATTCAAGATCCAGTTCTGAACTTTGCCTCGTAGGTCATGGAAGGCATAGTTGTCAATTGCTTTTACAAGACTTGCATGGAAAAACTACTTGCTTGAAGAAAAGCAGCAAATCTGTGGAACATTTTATATTCACTGGTTTTTAGACTGCTATTAATAGTAGTAATAGTAGTAATATTATTACTAATAATATTGTAGCATTCGGCCCATACTACAAGACTATTGCAAGTAATAATAACTATTTTGGAACTAGCAGTCCAGGGCTAAATGCCCTAATTGCTCTCAAACCTGTGAGAAAAAGAAAGAGAAAGGGAAAGCAAGCAGATGCTATCATGTTGCACAGCATTCTTCATTTTGCCCCATGAGCCATTTTGGATAACTCTATTTACAGGCTCCCCTCTTGAGCCAACTTCCTTATTTTAGCAAGCCCCCAAGGAGACCAGCAATGTTCACATCCACTTTCATTTCAATTAACATGATAAAGATATATAAACAGACTAACTGGTGAATGTCGAGAGGCTTCCTTCAGTTTAGACATCGTAGCTTGAAAAGTCCCTATGAGATCATGCGATCCATCATTGTCATAGTCATAGCACTCGACCTAAAATGAAATATACATTAGCCTAGAATATTGTAGATGGTATCATGACATTTGAGTACCAAAATATAGCTATATGTGATAGTCAATTTTGTTTTTAGAAACGCTGCCCACCAAAGACTGAATGCAACAGTAGTAGTAATGCACTACTACTTTATGTGCCACTACATGTCTAATATTTATTTATTAAATTTGTATGCCTCCCATCTCCACCAGCTGGTGTCTCTGGGCAGCTCACAATTAAAGTAAAACCCACAAACAGTTAAAAAATAAATACCCACATTAATTAATTAAAATTAATTACTTACTTAAAAAATCAGGCTATAAAAACAAATCCTATACATAAAACTAAAAACTTTCAAGATGACAAGGGAGTAAAATCAATTACCCCACAAGCCACTACCACTGGTGCAAGCCCCCATCTTGGCCCCAGGTACATGACAGGTACATATATCTGTACCTCTGCTTTAAAAATTAAGTTTTGAGGAAATTCAAGTTGCATTTGTGATAATTTTTCTGTGAGTTTACTGTCACCTCCAGTCTAATATATAAACACTGCAATCCAATCTTCCATAAGAGGCCAAAGGATGGAAGTCCCAAAAACCAAAAATAATGTTGGTTAATGTTCTTAAGATGCATGCACGGACATTCCCTTTAATGCAAACATGCAGGAACTCCTATTACCAAAGATGATATGTGGAAACAGGTTTTCACATAATGAAAGCACACAGAATAAAGCTGAAGTCGGAGTGAGAGAGAGAACAAATACCCATGTTTCAATGTGTATTTTATGGTCATTTCTGAATTTTGCACAACAGTTAACATAGCAGTCAACAAATCATTAAGAGATATTTACTGAATGTAATGTTTAATATAGGTTTTATCACATACTGAGAGTTATAATTGTTACATTTCCCACCCATTATAGGAAAAAAAGAATTCATGCTTGCTCCTTCAGCACGCAAAGAGACACACTTCAGAGATAACTTATGAGGTATTAAAGTGAGATACTTGTGTATTATGGTTGAATTAATATAGAAACAAACCATTTGAACACATAAAACAACAACAGCATCAGGAAGATATAGAAAAGTTATTTTACTTACTACAAGGAAATAGGCAGCTACATAAGACACGGTGTGCATAAAGTATGAAAGCATTGTTCAGTCATTATAAGATAATATTTCCCTGCCTGGTTCATTACATCAGATTTTTAATTGCTGAAACTATCAAAGCTTTTCCATTTTCCCAGATGTACTTAATAAAAAAGTTCAGGCTGCAAGCATGACACAGATCAAAACATTCACAACATTTGATTTTGCTCCATCAAAAGCGAGACTCATGTTAAATGGTTTATTGATAAACAGTGTTATTAATTATGCAAGGATGAAAATGGAAAGATTAATTTTCCTACGGAATTAGAATACCAATTGTGATCATGGCACACAGGAGGAATGACACTATAAAAATATGGCCTTTACCATTTTTTAATGATTTTCGTAGGAAAAGAAAAATAACGAAAGGTAGGTCAAAATAAAAAGAGTATAAAATCAAAATATGGATAAACAAAAAGAATTAAAGCTAACAAGGCAAGATGAAATCCACATTAATAAGCTGAAAAAATCCTTCTTAAATTCAAGGAAATAAAGATATGAGTGAACAGATAAGGTGGCATTGTTCGTCTGCTGTAGAAATTGCTGCCTGGATAGATGATTCAGCATTTGCTACTGAATGCTTCACTTCCTCTTTTGTTTTTTTAAAGTTGAAAGCCCTATAGTAGTACTACTAGTAGTATAAATAAGGCTGGGGGGTTGGTGGACAGAACTTCTGGGAAACAAACTATGCACGTATCACATTAAGCAGTCCTGGAGATAAGCTCAAAATTCTTGCAAACACTTTTAGAGAATGGAAAGTGTTGTTGCTTATGGCTATCAGGGTGGTGTTTAAATTCCAAGACAGTATTAAATAGTTTAAAATACATTATCCCATTAAAGAAAGAAATAAGGCCCAAAGATATCAGGTAACAGAGCTATAAGCATAGAAGCAACAACAGATCTGATGAAAGATAAGCAAAAGTAGTTTTTTAAATGGTTCCTAAAACCCAGCCAGCTACTAATTTATCACATTTGAGAATGATGGGTGGGTTTGGAAAATAATCTTACATAAGATCAATTACAGAGGTATCACTGAGGAGGAACTAGACCAACTTTCCCCAACCTGCATCTATTGGCCATTCATCAGCCCAAGACTGGCCAACAGCCCTGCTGGTTGGAGGTTGGTGGGAATTGTAGTCTAACATAGTTTAACACAAGTAGATGTCACCAGACTAGGGAAATGCTTGAATAAACAGTTTCTATGTCAACTGATGCACATTCTCATGACTTCAGGTCTATCTCTAATATTCTGGTCATTGACTGTAATAAAATGTTCCTTGTTTGACATTGTCATTCACTATCCAGCAGTGTTTTTGCTGTCATATTTACAAATCTCTTTAATTTTCTGAGCAGCACTAGCAAATCCTATTTAACAGTACAAATTTATTCATACTTCATAAAGCCATAGAACAGGAATCTATGTTAAGGTTCTGAATAATTAAAAAAGTATGTTCAAAATTCTTCTAAATTATGATAAATTGATAATGATATGATAAATTACTTCTGCTTTCTTTCAATATTACCTTGATTGTTTTGTCCATGTCACCATAACACAAAGAGTTGAGAGAGATTTTAAATGGCCTCCAGACAGGATTCAAATTATTTTTAATAACCTATAAAAGTATGAAATGTACTTTTAGTTATATTAGCATAATTTATCAATAAATCATTTTGGCTAATACCTGCTGTTTAATTATTCAGACAACTAGCACACATTTATCCAAGAATATAATGAATGTATCACTGAATAAGACGGTTTGCCTTTACTCCAATACTGACATTGTTCTATCAAGAAAAAATCTAATGAAAAAAATATTCTTAAAACTTAAAGCTGTTTTTTTTAAAAGTGCTATCCGTTCAGAATTGAGTCGCAAAGCTTCAGAAAATCAGAGCTAAAGATGCTGAAATAAGCTGTGATTTTAAATAGCCAAACCCAGAAAAGAATGAACTTACTTCTGTTCTATGCACCATCACCCACTTTCCTTCAGAGATCTGCTTGTGGAATTCCAAATAAGGATCAGATTTTCCAAATAAATCCTGGAATTAGAAATAAGCAATTTATTTTAAATTATTTTGCAAATAACACTTTGTATTCTTTTATGGTAATTGTCCTGCTGCCCAAAGCACAGTGTGCTTGTTCCCTCTCACTGGCAGCACTGCAAAGGGCCTAAGGATAATTTCTTTCATAATACACGTTCTTCTTTGGAAAAATCAGGGAGCACATAACAATAAAACAGTACCACACTATAAAAAACATTGTTCTCTAAAAAAAGGAACAATGGCAACAAACTAGGCAGGCCAAAAAAAAAAAATCTTCAAGCAGAAAACACCTAAGAAATCACATTATATACTGCTGTCCAGTTTGATACTATGGTCATGTAGACTGCATTGTTTATAAACACATGCCTTCATTCTGCTTGCTCTCTAGGAGACACTAGCAGATTAAACAGGATATGAAAAGTCAGTCTAAATATCAAGCTGTTTATGCAAAGATCATTGTAAATATAACCACTCCTTCCTGAAACAGACAGAACTGTTGCAGTTTTTACTATTCCAATGCCATATCCTCCCAGTTCATTCCCAAAAATGAGTATCTGAAAATAAATAACTTTCCATCTTTAGGCCAATACAGATGCAATGGTCCAGTCATAATTTGGTATTATAATTTGGGTTATAGAACTTCCTTCTCCAAAACACTTCCTATTTGAATTCCACTTATTTGGAAACTACAGTTTAGTCAATTTAATTCTGAACCAAGAAATTACGACAATCCAAAACCAGGATCTTACTCCAACAGTTTGGACCAGGTTTACAATTTTAACTACAGTTTAGTCAATTTAATTCTGAACCAAGAAATTACGACAATCCAAAACCAGGATCTTACTCCAACAGTTTGGACCAGGTTTACAATTTTAACTACAGTTTAGTCAATTTAATTCTGAACCAAGAAATTACGACAATCCAAAACCAGGATCTTACTCCAACAGTTTGGACCAGGTTTACAATTTTGAAAAGTGCCATAGCTTGACAGCCTGAATACAGCAATTTTTAAAACAGCAACTTAGGAGGGTACGTGTCAAGAGAAATATTGCTGTGGAGGGCCTCCAACTAGAAAATGGGGTGCAACATATTTAGCTAACCACTGCCTTTCTACTGGCAGATACGCAACCCTGGAAACAAATTTTAGGAATTAAAATGAGTGAGCTTATCATTTTTCCAGTTATTTCACCTTATTGTCCAGTTTCCTTGCTTCAACTTCAAGTATGACCACACGGTTATCTTTTATTTCTTCAGCACTAATCTGGGTAAACACAGATCAATATTCACCATAAGACACTCCATTCTAATAAAATATGGCTATGTGTTCTTTTAAGAATCAAACAACAACAAAAATATGGAAGATATGAGAAGTACACATGACATTTCTATTAGTTTCAGAAGCAATAAAAATATATTCTTATTAGAACATTCAAGAAAACATACAGGAAATGCAGATGGTGTGCAGACGCAGGTAAGTTTTTTATTTTTAACCATTAAAAACCTGGCTTTTCTCAATGAAATTTTTGCCTTGCTTTCATCTGAATAAAAGACCCATATGCCATCCTATATGGAACTTTTTTTTAAAAAAATGCTTCTAATTTTCCAAACAATTTGGAAAATAACAAACAAGACTACAGTTTAGAAAAAATAAATCCAAATTTAGTATGCAGCATCAGGCAAAATAGTCTTTGGATTCAAGATATAACTCCGTATTTTTAAGACCACAAAAATGAAGTAGAAATATTGAACAAAGCAGGAAAACATAAGCAATAAAAAAGACTTTATGATTATGGAAAAGCACTTTACAAAACTTTATATTCATATTTGCAGAAAAGTAAATCACACTGTGCTGAACGACCTCATTTTTCCATAAATGACAAATCATTCATTTCTCTTGCTTGTATTTATATACTGGGGGGAGGGGAGAGAGAAAAAGAAACACAGGGGAAAGAGCAAGCGTAAAAAACAATCAATTTTTGGTTAAAAGAAAAAAATCAGCTATGTTTTCATACCGTAATTACACCTTTTCCTGCAGGTCTGCCATTTCTTAACACTAAAGGTCTGGTAAGTGTCTTGCTAGAAACAATCTGTAAAATGCAGAAATATTCAGGAAAAGAAAGTGATTTATTCTAAACAATAACTACCTCTAGTAACTGGAGGTTGTTCCAAATGCAAAGACTGGGGCAATAAATGATGTTTTATTAAGTCACAAACTATCATCAAACCCATAATCTCCATCACTGCCCATTTCCTCGTGAGCCATCCTTACAACTTAGTTTATTTATACTTCAATTCTTTACTTACATTTAATTTAAATTATATTTATTTATTTACTTACAGCCAAAAGGCCCCAGAGCAAGTTACAAACATAATCTAGACTTGACATTAGATAAAACAATTTAAAAGATAAAATATTTAATAAATATTACATGATACACTTAAAAGCCCAACTGATTGATTTGTTACTAAAAACCTTGTTTTTATAGCCATAGTTAAAAATCTGGCTGAGAAAATTAGAATGTAATTAGTTTCCTAGTTCAGATGTAACAGAAAATGCTGCACTAAGGAAGCTATGAGAGAAGCAACAATATACATGAGAATAAAAAAGAAAACCATGTATACCTTACAGTTCTTCTTGGTTTAATAAATAATAGTATAAAAAGCCATGATTATTATGTCTCAACCACCAAAGTGGACAAACATTCCAATAAGGCCTTCACCCATCCTTATTTTTTAACCACAGAATCATAGAGTGTAACTGAGTAGGTTAAACTGAGGGAGCCAGTTTGGTGTAGTGGTTAAGGCACCAGGCTAAAAACCGGGAGATCCTGAGTTCAAGTCCTGCCTTAGGTGCAAAGACCTTGGGCCAGTCACTCTCTCCCAGCCTAGGAAGAAGGCAAGGGCAAACCACTTCTGAAAAACCTTGCCAAGAAAACTGCAGGGACTCCTCCAGGCAGTCACCAGATGTCAAGACTGGCTTGAAGGTATACGCGTGCGCGCGCGCACACACACACACGCACTAGTCATCAGAAACATTTTTAAGTAGCCTATTAATTCCTTGCTTTTAATTTCTCCAGATCAGTTTTGATTTTGGTTTTGAAAATTGGTAAAAATCTTCAAACTGTTTTTGAAGAAGACAGTTTAAGATTTTTACTGAAAATCAGGTAGACAGTAAGTAGTAATTTCCTCCATTCCACTGTATCACAGCAAAGAATAGCAAGTTAATTAATTTTAGCATAAATGGGATTTCAGGTCAAGTCCCATTTACTGGATCAAATTAAATGGTAAATGAAGCAATTAAAATTTTCAGAAAGAAACCAACAGGAATCATACCTTAATTGGAATTAAACAAAAATCATTTGAAACTTGAAAGTTTCAAGACCTCTTAATCAGGCAAGTTGGTTATAAAAGAACTCCTCTTGCCAAAATAAAGGTATCTTGTCAATGGATTTTGGACTTTTTCTCCCATGGCCAGTGCCACTATTATATTTTAAGAAATGTCCAGAACCTGTTTGCACGTACCTGTCCTAGTGTGCATTCAAATTCTCCTAAGAAGTCATCATCATTCAACTGAACAGTTGTATTGTCAATGTCAAAAATCCCAAATTTGAGTTTCTGAACTAGTTCAAAATAGTAATCAATCAGGAATTTTTTGGAAAATTTGGGGTTCAAACTGTTTTTGATCCTTTCTGTGCGATCAACCTGTAATACAGTACAGTAGTTCATCACATAATATTATAAAGAAATAAAAATTCTCACACTTCTGTTTGAGCATTCTGGAAAATACATTCCCCACCACAAAAAAACTAAAGAAAATAGGGGTAAATATGAAATCCCATGCCCATCTATATTAGTATAATACACATTAAACTCAGTAAGTATAACTGGACTTGCACAAGATTATGCTGTAAATACAGTGGTACCTCTAGTTACGAACTTAATTCGTTCCGTGACTCTGGTTGCAACTCAAGTTGGTCTCAAGTTGAGGTAAAGTTTCCCATAAG